GGAACTGTGACTGCCACCCACTCCTCCCAACCCCATCAGCTGAAGAGAGGTGCATTCCCTGTCCCATAGCTATATACGTCACACAGGGGCGGAGAATTCCCAGCCGCAGCTGCCATCACTGATTGGTCCACAAGGAGGAAGTGGCAGTCAGTTTTGAGTGGGCTTGGGAAAACAGGGTTTGCACCAATTCCAGGCTCCTCTCTATTTGTTGTATGTTGCTAGCCTAATGCAGAGCCCTGGCGCCCAGGCTGCAGCCCTTTGTTACTTGCTGTGTGACCCTTTGCAGACCCTAGCAGGCAGTATTGGTTAGTGGGAGCACTGGTTTGTAATGGGAGTGATTTCTAGAAGTCTCATGTAACACCTGCTCAGTCTCTGACTGCATCCTGTAGCATGTCTTCTGTCTCCAACCACATCAGGCGGGCATACTCAAATTCTGAATATCTTCTTTAACACATAAGTCCAAAAGGTTTATATATGAGGCGCTAGATGTGGGGTATCAGTCTTATATCTACTAACTGCATTTGGTTAGTGTGCTCTGGCTCTGGTTTTAGTGGTGTTCTAATTTGAATATTATGATCAGTATCTTCATCCTCATACCTTACATTGAAATCACTTATGGTTTTTTTTGGGAGGGGGGTTTGGGGTTTATAGTGAAGACCTTTAGCCTAACTATCCACCTTTTGAGAATTCAATGTGTGTTTAAGTTTTATTTGCTTTTTGCACTTCTTGTTTTTGCTGTGTCCCTGAATCAGGACAACTGTTTTTTATCTTGTTTATGTATTAAAGGATCCTTTTTGGACTCTAAAACTAGTCATGTGGTGCTATCAAAACATTATGGAGACACATTCTAGTGTCTCTTCTATCATGTTTACCGTCCCTGACAAGTCATCTGTAGCATTACATACACTAAATATTGTGGGTAGCCTTTTGATGCTACCAGGGGCTGCATTTGAGACTCCCTATAATTCATAATTTGACCACCACTGGCCCAGTGGAAGCCAATTGGATACTAGACTTTTTTTTTTTTTTTTATATCTAGCACTATCCTTTTCCTTTTCTGGTAAGTTCCTAGAACATTGACATGTAGATAGAGAAATGCTGTTTGCTGCCAAAATTGTCTTTCCTTTAAAGAAAATGTATAGTGTTTTCACTGCACAGATGCGCAGTGTTGCACAGGCTGGCAATGATGTGAGATTACAGTAGACCAGGGTGCCCATTAGGTAGATCGTGATCTACCAGTAGCTCTCAAAGCTGATGCTGGTAGATCACGAAGGGTGTGAATGGCGGCCCCTTTATTCCATTTTGGTATATTTATTTAGCTGTGCACACATGATTACCTATTAGCCTGAGTCTGCTGAGCCAAGCTCCCTGACACCTTTCTGGTGGATACAGGTGGTTGAAGTGCTATGTATTACATCAAACAAATATTAGTTTACACAGCCTGTTGCACTGCACTGTTTGCAAAATACAGCAAGGTGAGCCAGAACAAAAAGAGGGGAGAGAAGAGAGAGAGGGGGGAGAGAGAGACAGAAAAGAGAGAGAGAGAGAGAGAGAGAGAGAGAGAGAGCAAGGAGAGACAGCCAAGAGAGTGAAGAGAGACAGGAGAGAAAACGAGGAATGACACCCAGGAGAGAGAGCAGGGAAAGAGAGAGTGAGGAGAAACAGCCAGGAGAGGGAGCGAGGAGAGACAGCCAGGAGAGTGAGAGGAGAGAGCAAGGAGAGACAGCCAAGAGAGTGAAGAGAGACAGGAGAGAAAACGAGGAATGACATCAGGAGAGAGCGAGAGGAGAGAGAGGGAGGGTTTTTTTTTCATTGGTAGATCTCATGGTAGATCTCATGTAGTTGTGGGCACCCCTGCAGTCACCATTGCATTTATAGGTTTCCTTTAACTGACGCTATATCAGTGGAAAACGCTGCTGCTCCTCACTTGCTGCGGGATACTTTTACTTTTTACACATTGGGTGGAATTTATCAAAACCGGAGCAAACAAAATATGGAGCAGCTGTGCACGGCAACCAATCAGCTTCTCTCTTCAGTTCAGTTAAGATTTGAAAATGAAAGGTGGATGCTGATTGGTTGCCATGCACAGCTGCTCCATATTTTGTTTGTGCCGGTTTTGATAAGTTTCCCTCACTGTATATAATTTTATAGTTTTGATTTGCATTTTTGTTTTGCACTCATTTTCCCTGGTATGATCTACCCTTCACTAATGTGCCAGGCTCTGTTTAAGCCTTCGCATGACAGGCCTCTCTCCTGCAGATGAGACACCTGGTAATTTGGGAGCACTGAATGACATTTGAATGTGGTTGTTGTGACTCATTAAGCATGCAGGCCTTTAGATGTGAAATTAGAACTATCCCATGAGATGTGAAACTTGGCACATCTTGGTTACTGCGTTCAAGTCAAATTGCTGCATAATAGCAGCTTCCCTTTTTGTAAAATCTCCACTACCAATTGCATAACCTTTTCAAAGGTACTCGTTCCTTTAGTTCGGGGGCCAACTGTCTGCAGGCTGAATGTTTTTTCCACTGCGTGAGCTCCCCCTCCCGCAGTGAATGTCAATCTGTGGGTTATAAGTGGTTGCAAGGCTGATAACCTTCCTGAGCAGCGTGCCTAGTAATTCATCTGTGAGTAGTTGATGTGGGTGACAACGCTGCAGTGAATACACTGCAGGCCCTGCAGCATTGTCACCGTCCTATAGGAAGACTAGTGGACTGGCAGGATCACTAGGCATTTTTCTATGATAGAGGATATTTACTTCACTTAAAAGAAGCTCTTTTACTTGGTTGCAAATAGAGGTTTCAGCTGAATATTTTTACATTTTTGGTAAAATTCTACTTCAACCTGTGCTTACGGTTCCTGGCTTTGGCAGCCCGCTGTGTCCATTATAATGAGACATTGTTTTGGATTTTTCATTGATGTTTAATGTCAGGGAGAATACAGCAGTTCAGTGAACACTTCATGACACGAAGGGAAAAAACAGGAACTGGGGAAACTGGGGAAAAAAATGTGTAACTTGGAGATAAAGAAACATTCCTGGGGCCCACTGATAAATATTGCAGCAACCTTTTAAACTAGGAAAACAGCTGGAATTCAAAGTAAAGGGAAACGAGGGAGCTGCCATTGCTGACCTTCTTTAGAGAAAGGCAGGCTTTGTTATAAAAAAAAGTATATGATTTTCAAAGCCTTCTTACAAACATTGCACAAGAAAAGAAGAGAATTGGCAATAATTATTCTGCAGGTACTTAAACATTCCAAGTGTATATAGAAGACAAAGTCTCCAGTAGATTGTATGTTCAACCTCGGTTGCTGATAATAAGAACAATTAGTGAGAAATAACAATGAAGGGAAGGGGGAAAAAATGTCTTTTCTCTAATAGTGTTGCATTAATCAATATATCTTCAATGTATTCTTTGTATCTTAACCTTACACCTGCAAAGTTAAGATCTGGTATTTATTCGAGTAAATAAAATCTATATACAGCGGTACCTCGGTTCACAAACTTAATTCGTTCCACAATTCTGGTCGCGAACTGAATCAAACTGTGGTCAGACCGCAATCTCGACTAGAGGAAGCCACGACCATGTGTCGGAGCGGGGAAGAGGGCTGCGGTTGTGTTCTTCACCCGATGCGGATTTCGAGAACGGAAGCAAAATGTTGCCGAACTGATGTGTTTGCGAACAGAAGCGTTCGTGAACCGAGGTACCACGGTATATCCTACATTCTGTAGAACCTGATGTATGTATTCTGGCGCTTATACCATCCATTTCTCAGCTTCAATTAGTTTGTATACTTCAGTCCGCCACACTGCTATTGTGAGCGCCGTGTGTGATTTCCACAAGGCTTTTGGCTGCATTTAGCAGGTGTGGCATTATTGATCATTTTATGTTTTTATTGGGCTGGTAGATGTGTGAAACCATATAACAAACAGATTGTCAGATCACTTTTTTGAAGTGTCACTTTAGGTAAACCCCACACTGCACCCCAAATGGGACAGACCCACCTAGGTGTAAATATGTTTTGCTGTGGTCACATCTCTCAAAATCAGCAGAAGTATTGGCGTATGGAGGTTCTCAGGTGCCCTATGCCATCTCAAAAGTCACTTGTAACACGTTTCCTGTGCTTTAGAGTGAATTGAGGCGAAATGAGCCAGTTTGGTGGGCTTGCTGTTTTAAATACAGTTCTTTGAGTTATTGACCAGGAATGAGAATGTGAACAAGGAAACTCAGTCACTTTAGAAGTCCTTATCTGCATACAGAGAGGCAAATTTCACTTCAAGGATGCAGAGCCACCAATGGAAGGATTTCTTTTTAGTTCTAAAGTTCTTAACTGGCTGTTCCTTTTTAATATGAGCAGTAAATTTGCCTTTGTGTGGTATTAAATATTTTACCCATAGTAAGACCCTCCTCCTGTATTTTTTTTTTTCTTTTTCCTATAGCGCACTAAGCTTCATCATTCCCCACAATAGTGCTCATAGAATTATATTTTATCGGAATGAATCCTCTGAAATACCTTTAAAACATCCAGTAGCTACTACCTAGGTGGACTTTAAGTTTTCCTGGGTTTAGTTGCTCCAATCTATAAATTGCAGAAAATTCAAAAATGGCTTGGCCAGCTGATTTGAAAAATGTTCCGGAGGGCTTGGCAGCGAAAGGGTTAAAACAGGGCTATGGGACTACCTGTGGTCGGTAGTTCTTTAGTAAGGTTATGTTGTACAATGGTCCCTGGAGTCAGGGCAATACCCCAACATACCCTCTCTGAACCCGATTGTCAGAGGGTGAAACATGCATTTATTATCTGTATTAAATCATGAGAAGCTCAGAAATAATTGTTTGTCATATCTGCTATTGAAAATAATCATTTATGCAAAGTCTGAAGTTATTGTTCCTGATGGTATCAGTGGTAAAGCTTATGTACTGGAAAATTGGATTGTTCTATTAATAGTGCAATGTGTTTTTTGACAAACATGTCTGACGTGGCTGTTTCCCTCCTCTGTTAAGGTTATGCCTTCCTGCTCTTTCAAGAGGAAAGTTCCGTGCAAGCTCTGATTGACGCCTGCTTGGAGGAGGATGGCAAGCTTTACCTGTGTGTATCCAGCCCCACCATCAAAGACAAACCTGTAAGAATCTTTTGATCTAATTTATTGCCAAGCAAACACCCTTAGCTGCTCATGATGACTTATGCTATCCAGGGCCATATTTATCATAATGCATTAATGGGCACATGTGCATGGAAGTATCAACAGTACTTACAATACTTGCGTGACAGTACTTACTTTATATGGGCACCTCTGTATATGTATCTGTAAGTATGTCAGAAGATCTGAAGGTGGACTGGAATTACATGAGTCTTTGTAGCTCAAGTAACCTAAAGTCATATATGTCTTTGCAGATTTTCGTTTGGCAAACAAATATCAATTTTGCATATAAACTAGACAATAGATCCAGGCTGGTCAAGTGCTTTGCGGGTGCTAGAAGACCCACCAGGATCCGTCTCGCTCTCCAAAAGCTTCTACAATTCAAAGAAATGGGCCATACCACATACAAGCTTTATTTGCTTTGGAGCAACAACATCCTGCTGGACACTGGCTCCTCCCATGTCTTGTTTTGCCCTAATGTAAGACTTGGTCATGGGCGCTTCTATGACTAAACCCTGCGTTAGAGTGAAACCAGTCAGTGGAGGAGCCAGCAGGATATTGTTTCTTTATAGCAAATAAAGTGTGTTGAATTAGTAAGTAGCGGTGGTGCTGGCCTTTTCTTTGGATTACAAACAATATGTTGCTGCCAGTAGTATATTCTGGTTTTAATTTTTGTAATGGTAATCATTTAACCTGGTTGAAGAATAAAGGGAAAGGAACCATACATACAAAAGGGCATTCTAACTGTGCCGTGCCCAGGGCAGCAAGAATGTGAAGCTACCTATACACATAAAACAGCAGTTGGTCTTTAGGGAACTTTTTGGTGGTAAACTTACAAGACCAATGATATCACATACTGTATATTATGCACTTAGAACAGTAAAGATGACCTAATATTTTCAACCCCCTACTTCTAGCAGTGTCACACCAAGAACACCTCGTGTAGATATTTGCCCCATATGTTAATTTTGATATACTTCATCAAAAACACAGCGGTTGCAACATTTACAATGTGTATTCATATCATAAAACAAGTTCCTAAACTACTGGAAATAAAGGGCTCCCCTTAATTCATATTTCTTCATCTTTACAGAAGCCAACTTTCTATTTGTAAAATGCCTCCTGAATTAGCACATCTTATGATCACACAGCAATGTAAAACCCAGACCTTCTTTTTTCCAGAGCTTCCCCCCTTTTTTTTCTGTAATGCAATGGTGGGTGCCACGAACTGCCTGCCAAAACATACTTGAGACGCACGCCCTGGAACTTTCATACCAATGAATGAAAATCGCTTTCATTTGTCCATTCTTCCGTTGGCACATGGTAGTTTAAGAACATCCGCTTTTCAGGAAAATAGGTTAAAACAGTACTGCTCATAGAAAATCCAGATTCACCTAAATGAATATCTTTCATTGCAGGTTCAGATCCGGCCTTGGAATCTGAGCGATAGTGACTTTGTGATGGACGGGTCTCAACCTTTAGATCCAAGAAAAACTATATTTGTTGGAGGTGTTCCACGACCCCTACGAGCTGGTAAGCGCCGTGCATCTCCTGGTACATATGATGCGTCTAATGTAATTGGGACTTAAATTCCATTAAATATTTTGGTAATAGTTTCTCAAGCGACCCTTAAGCCACTAAAACCACATGTCCACCAAGGACACCGCCATCTTATCCTCTATTTGGAGCTGCAGTTGCCAGGGTGCTGCATACATGACTAGGCATGACACCAGCCATTTTGAGGCCTTAAATGTTTGGCTGAGATCAGACCCAAACACATTGGCAACTGTGAGGCCCTTTTCATTTCTGAGTGTTTTGTCGAGCGATTCCCGAAGTGCGACAATGCTCAAGGATGAAGAATCCCATTATTCTCAATGTGCTCGTTCACACCCGAGTGTTGTATCATTTGTTGTGTGAAGCGCGCAAAAGTACATGAGCTTCTTATGGGGCAGATGAAATTAATTTTTTGGCCCATATACTTTCATGGAAGTGTCTGAAATAGACCTGAATTTGATAATTCTTCTCCTATACTACAAGTTGCACCTACAAAAAGAACACCTCTGGACTGCCTAGCTATGCTCTTGCTTAGGTGTGACTTTGACCATATCGTTATCACCAGAACCTTGCCTTGAATTGAGCATACACTGCACATGCGCTAGTAGGCACATTGTAAATGAAAACACTGCAGAAGACAATATTGGTATTTATTTCAGTTGCGGCGTCTCAGTATACCGCGAGCAGCAGCTTGCGGTATACTGTGGCATCTCAGTATACCGCGAGCTACAGCTCGCGGTATACTGAGCCTAGGGTGACGGGAGGACGCTAGTTTGTGTCCTCCCGTTACCCTAAGGAGAACTATGGGGAAAAGCCTTAACCCCATAGTTCTCCTTTAAGGATTTAATAACGTTTATTACACATTTCTAACTTTAGCTTTTGTTTTTTGGAAAAAAATATATTGGTGTCTCTAGTTATGCTTTAAGCCTGCAGGAGAGAATGGGAGCTAACCTATGCCATCTATTGTGGTTAGATATGGAAAAATTAGAATCTCCTTACCATGGGTGACTGCAGTTTGTTATTGCAGATAGTGTGTTTTGTTAGCTTTCTTTCCTGTCATTGGAATACACAAATCCGTCACACGTGGATTGATAAATAAATCATCAGATCTCCTTTTTTAGAAACTGAACAACATTTGTAAAATAGATCTTGGACTTTAAATGTAAACAGTTTTCTGTAAATAATTTTTCCTACGTGCACTCCTTGGTGGCTTGTATATAGGACTCCTCTTGATTTTATCAATTGGGAAAGGAGTCCAGCAACGAAGAAGCATGTGTTCTGATCACCCTCCGTTCTGTTCATGTGCCTCTGTGTTCTGACAGCTGGGTATTCAATCTGAGCGGCAGTGTGCACATTTTTGCTCCACCCTGTTTAAAACTCTGCATGTAAGAAGCTTCTATAGTGGTGAGAGTAACCAAACAAAATGAACCAGAAAGTAGTTACATAGTTACATAGTATTTGAGGTTGAATAAAGACATTAGTCCATCAAGTCCAACCTATTAGGATCTCATTCTAGGAGTACCTGTACCCCTGTATATTACGGTCCCTTAAGAAATCGTCCAAAAGTTTCTTGAACAATTCCACATTATTTGCTGAAATCACCGCCTGTGGCAGTGAGTTCCAGACCCTAACTGATCTTACTGTGAAGAACCCCCTTCGCCCCTTGTGCTGGAATTTTTTTTCCATCAATTTTAGGTGATGGCCTCTAGTTTTTGTAACGGAGTTAATTTTAAACAGTTTATCGCTAATGTTGCTACCACCATTAAACATTTTGTACATGGAGATCATATCCCCCCTTAATCTCCTCACCTCCAATGTGAACATGTTTAAATTTAGTAGCCTTGTCTCGTAGCTCTTGTCCTCCATACCCCTAATTAGTTTGGTTGCCCTTCGCTGGACTTTTTCCAACTCAAGCATATCTTTTCTTAGTACTGGTGACCAGAACTGGACCGCGTACTCCAGATGAGGTCGAACCAATGATCTATAAAGTGGCAAAATTATAGACTTGTCACTGCAATACATCCCCTTTTTAATACAGGACAAGACCCTGCTAGCTTTGTTTACAGCAGCCTGGCACTGCAAACTACCTTTCAGTTTGTGGTCTACAATGACCCCCAAATCCTTCTCCATTTCTGACTTCCCCAGCGGCATACCCATAATTGTATAACCCATTTGTTTATTTTTAATTC